TAGCCTCCATCTACGATCTTATTTCGTAGGGTAAAACGTAATTAAATTTTTGTTTTTGCCTAGTAGCCGGCTAGTAGCTTACCGGAACGATGCGTATCCGTTGCTGGTAGCTCAGCTGGCATTCAACTGTCGTTTTTATTTTTCCTTTATGTATTGTATGTATGTATGTATTTCCTTTATGTATTGCGGTACAATAGCGGAGGTGTTTTACCATCTCTAGCTGACATGTATAATGATGATGATGATGATTAGCTTCGAAGGGCGAGAATTAGGTGTTCTACCTGACACATCATCTAATGCAATAGAGTGGCCCGCATATGCATGTGATTCCTTGTTAATTTCAGAAATCATTTGATCATCCAACGCTTCGTCCCTATTTGCAGGAAGCGGAGTATTATCCTCACATTTGTGCTGGCCAATAAGTGGGGCAATATCAACTGGGTGAGGGGCGCCATATGGCTGTTGGGTATTCTGTTTTACTTCAGAAGTTCTCCTCCTTATCTCTTGTTGTAGCGGGGTTTTGTCCTCCATAATTTTCAGACTTTTGAAAGTCGTATTAAGCACAATGAGATTGCGCTTTAGAATAAATTGTTTAGCGATAAGTTCATTTTGAAACTGGAAAAGTATGGGACAAGCGTAACGCATTATATTTTTTCGTAGTCTGATGCAGCTGGACCAACAAGATTGCATACCTCATGCAGTAAGAAGCAATTTCTGAACAGTTTTTAATGGTAACTTGTCTGGCACATTAAATACCACAGCATTGCGTGAACAGTGTACTCGATTGTGTACTTCGGTCGAAATGGAGTCTATCAGTATACTGCACTTCATGAGGTTCATTCTATCAACATTTGCGGGCGAATCAAATAAGACAGATAGACTCTGCAAGGTTTGCAATATCGATGTGAGCATGTCGACCTTTGATGCAAGTTCAGCGTATGCAGTTTCAGCTACTGATGGACATGTTTCAGGTGTCTTTCTCAGGTCAGCATGTAGTCCAAGGGAATTTCCTACAGTGCCTACACTGCTTCGGGTATTTCCTTTACTACCGCTTCCAGTCTTTGTGCAAGGTACTTTAGTTCGTTGTCTCAGATTTTGAACTAAAATGGAAGAATCCTGGCTCATAATACTTTTTTTCCTCATGGAGCGTGTCCTTACTGTAGACATGATAATGAAACCGAAGTAAGATACACTAAAGTAAAATCAGAGGAGCTTAGACAATGGGTGCCAACTTTTGATCCTTAACTGAAAATCCACCTCTAAATATAATGTTGGTGAAAAATGGCAACTCCCGGAAACTGCGATTTAATTAGGAACAAAAAGAACGCACCGCAGTGAACTATTTGAATCTCCGCCTCCGAGTTGCACACGCTGTTGCTTAGGCAACGCGATCTCTCCACTAAGTCCACACGTGTTGTTGTTGTCTCACCTTTCCAATGACACACCGGTTAGCAGTCGGGTCAGCACAGACAGGTCACAAGCGGTTGCAGGTGAATCCAGACAGGCCTCGGAACGAAGCACAGGCTATCGATCTGGTCAGAGCGCTTCTTTGTGTTGCACTAGTGGTGTGTGGCCGGTGGGTTGATTTGAAGTGGCAGCCTCAGTGACAGATACAATCGAAAGCGTAGCGGTAGATCTCTGATATTGCTGCCTGTATCTGCCTTACGCAGCTATCGATAAAAGCAGTCGTGTATTTGTTACAGAGCCCTTATGTTGGGCTTCCAAAAAAAGGTCACAATTTTGGTGTAGGATGCAAACCGAAAGAAATTCCTCGTGTAAACCTCCACAGAGAAAACGGGAAAATTAAAAATCCACGAGATATAGTCGTCTGTAATGCGTGGATTCGAAATACGCTGTGCGTTGGAAAGAGCACGTCGAGCCGGTTCGTTTGAGCGTACAGTGATAACGCTGCGAGCGGATGGAGAGAGGATAGAGCGGAATAATCCAGATGACTCGAGAGCACGCACGTCACGCGTAGTAGATGCGGACCCCTCGACAGTTTCTGCATGGCGATGGCGGTCAGTTCGTATGCAGCGAAATATAAACCTTCATCGCATAGGATATGCACAGTCGAGCGTTGGAGGACTGTCGTGCTTGACTATCACGAGCCACAGTCTGTCAGTCGTAGTACAGGACTCGCTATGCGAATAAAAGTGTGAATAAGCGGATTATGTATTGGTCGTGTGCACACTTTACAGGCGTGTCGTATTACTTTGTGTTTTTGCTTACAGCAATACGTTGCCCCATTTAAATTATATAATTTATCCGATTTTTGGACGCAGGTCACATAGATACACGGAAAGCGGTACAGGTGGTGAGCATACTTCGACGGCTGTTGGCTTGACGATCCGAAGCATTGAAAGGCTTCGAAGTATCTGAGTAACTGGCACTGATTTTACTTTAATAACTGATTGTTATGTCGATGCTTTCGGTGCTGTCACCAGATTCATTGTAAGTAACCGAGGTCGATATCCTTATTAGTACAATGAAGGCTAAGGCGCTTTATCCTGTCGGGTAACCTATCTGCACAACTTTGATAATGCTTCTTCCGAAAGGAACACAAGCGAGATACGTTAACCGGCAGCTAGTTGCGGGTTAAACACCTCTGCTTTCACCATGATGTTGCTGTGGTCTACCCACAAATTCCACCGTCAATGGCCCTTCTTGATAACTGACTCTGTTAGGACGGCGCTGTTGGTCACGTCTAAATTCTTTACCTTACATTGTATCAATTTCATCTTGGGCCGCCGTTGGTGACCTTAGACCTTACCAAGTTTCTACGCCCACCCCCAGTTATATAACCGTCCAGCATTCCTGTGACAAGTTGCGCCCGAACATGTCCAGGCTGAAGTGAATCGGTTACACTCCTGTGCTTCATACATGCGTACACTTTACTAGGTATATGCCTCCTATATCCTATTGGCTGGCAATATTGGCTAACGAAACAAGTGCACGCTGGTGCGCTCATGCAACTGGCAATGAACAGTGAATTTATACGAGTTAAGAAGCGTTGCTTTACAGGTCCCGTTGGATAGTTGGTGGGGACATCGAAATAACAATGATAATAATAACAATAATAATAACACAGGACTTCAAATGTGAAAATGAGGACTTATCATTCGCTCCACCGCATTCCCACAATCCGCTTAGATTCACAGCACCCACAGTTAACATCAAATAAATTCATGGTAAACTCTAGGTGTAGGGTGCAGACGTCGTTCTAAGGAACAAAGTGTAGCTGGTTGAGTGCGTCATCCAACCGTCTTATAAATACTGTTAGTGTCGGTGCATTGACGACCGATATAAAGATCGCATTCCAAGGGTGACAGACAAGAATGGAAAAGAAATTTCTGAGGCAGTCCAAACGCCTATCCTGTACTGCCAGTTACAGTGAGTAGCCCCACGGGGTTGTATTGGTGCTGAGTCGCAGTAAAGGGCGACATACATGATGTGCTTCTTTGCAGAATCAAGTATGCCATAATCAGGTCACCTCGTTGTCTGCGATAGCTTCTACTGAACACCCCCACTGGTTGCAGCCTCTGCTGGTATGAAAGCTTGCGCACTCCAATTACGTTCTTGGATGCCCGACTTTGTGGCTGCTCCAGGGCATTAAGGTCTTGTTTCAGCCATGGATGCCAGATTTGAATTGCGTGTTCGACATAGGGGCGAACATGCGCAATGAGCATTTGTCGAAATATTGAACTGTTTATTTGTCCACACGCCGGTCGCAACAGTCCGACTTGTTGGTTTCCAGTCTTCGAGACCTCTTCGGGTTGTCTGGAGCAACCCAAGTCATCTTGAACCCAAGTCACGTTCAACAGCTGATTAATGCAGTATATTCGTTCCGAGACTGTATGAGTTTTTGCTCTGGTGTCGAATGGAAAGTACCTTGCATTTACTGACGTTGAAATGCAGTAAGTTTTAGGTTGACCGTTGGTACACCGTACCTAGGTCACCCGAATCAATGTGGCTAATGGATGGATTGACCTTGTTAGAAAACAGAGGAATTGAATTTACGTACAGCTCAACTTGTTATTTGTACAGATCAGTTTGTCTAGGAAATGGTCGGCTGTCCAACTCTAACAGCACATGAATCAACTGATTGCGGGTGACGGTTGTGATTTCTGTTGGACAAACTGTGAGTCAATGTGGTCCGCACCCGTGTTTCCCGGATCGGTGTATGAATGGCTAAGGGTGGGAGTCAGCAGGTATCTCTGTCCCTTCTCGAATTTGATCGTCTCTCGTGACCCCAACAGTTACTAAGCACGGTCGCTCATGGGGCGTCGTATGGTTGATGTATCCCACTGGATTCAAAAGCTGGCTAGTTCTCGTTACAGTCACACAAGTTCAGTTTAGCAAACATGCTCATCTTCGATGAGTTACTATCAGATTATTGGATTATTTGAAGCGAAGCAGTAGGTCAAACAAACGGTAATGAAATGCGGTGTGTTTTCAAAAAATCTGGTAATTGTATGAGAATTAGTTGCCAGCTTCGAACTGGGTGACGAGATGTGCTAAAGCAAGCCAGTTAACCACGTATCTCTGATTACATTAAAAAATTCGGGTGGTGACGCTTAACAGACCGGGTGAACCGACCGGAATATATAAATAATGACCGTCTGATGCTTAGAAGTGTATTGGAACTGACGGCTAAAGACCTCGATGGGAGTTTGTATACGGCGGCCGTCACCAAAACCGTTTACTCCAGTGAGTTCTTTATAAACAAGCAAGTTTCTGCTACGCCCGGAAATATTTCTGGCTGGTACCAGCTAAAGATGTCGTTTTTGCATTCAACGTTACTCAGTATTATTTTTTCAGATGGTTATGGGAAAATCTGCGATTTTTCATTGCACAGTCTTTCTTGTATATCATTTTCGCTCACACCGTTTTATGTGTGTATAATTTCGGGATAAATTCCGGATGCGTGATACTTATGGAATGAATGAGGCGTGGTATGGGTTCTAATACAGATGTATATTCTGTATACCATTTATCTACAGCATATTGAATGGCTACGCGCGAACTACGAAATTGAAGATTTTATTTACTTCGGTCACCATTCAAGGAAGGAACACGCCACGTTGTTTCACTGTGTACTTGCAGTCAACTTTCACTGTCGCTACGGCCACTTCTTACGGGAAGTAATGCGCCAAGGAGGTAAAACTTGCTTGTACTACCATATCATGCCACCCTACTGTACGACAGAGGTGAGTGCTAGGAGTATCCATATTGCCGGTATGGTTCCACCACATATGCTGACAGCATTTGTTTTCTCGACTCTCATCGGATTTTATTACGTGTCCTATAAAAAAGCCTCCGAGGCTGACCACGTCTATATCCTGACAACCACATTAAGTTGACCGTTTCATTTTCCACTGCTCGAACGTTCATCATTTAATCCCTATGGATCTAGACCTGTGTATACTGATCGCCTCTATAGGCTGATCAGTTTGACTCAAACGCTTGAGTGATTAATTTACGGAGGTTTTACGGTACATCATGCACTACTAGTCTTGCATCACCTATCCGGTAAACGCTTTCTTTGCGCTAGTTGTTGAACTAGCAATAAGTGCTTTCCCACTGTAAATTACACATTTGCAAAACCCAAATCTGCGAATTCCCTTCAATCCTTCCCTACGTTTCGTTGTACGAATATTTTTTAAGTTTGACTAGCACTATTATTATCATTATTATTATAAAACGAAAATGCAATTTGTTTATCTGCATCACTGTGGTTAACTGAAGCGACAACTTAGTGAGTTATTACTATGCACTTCACTGATAACAGACTGTTTGCTGCTGTCCAAATCACAGCTGACCCAGCTGACCCGGAGTACTGACTGCTGAAACTGCTTTGACTCACTGCTGAGCAACATTTAGGCTGCATCTACAAAACTAATTCTATGTCATTTCTGTATAGTTAAATTTCGGTTATAGAATCACTTCTTACGATGTTCATTTTGTTGCGCTTTTACTCCTCTTGTCCTGAGAATCACGTGGTATGTGAAGCTAGGCTGTTAAAGTACACTGCATTACCTAGTGACACTTGAATTCAGTCACACTAGTAATTTTCTCAAGACTTTGATCGTTAGCTTTCGGTGTATGGACACTAGTGCCCGTCGGACAACAGACTTGTGGACTGCATACTAAGTGGTCCCTTGCTTTTAATTGTTGATTCCTTCATCGCGTTTCGGCTGACATTCGCCATCGACCACACAGCCCAATAGCACCAACACTTTTCATATGAAGCAGTAGATAGAGCGCTTGTGACTAGCGTTGGTAAGGCATTGAATTCTAAAGCCGAGGCTTGCCTACTGGATTGTATTCTGACAAGCTGCTTTCCAAGTGAATTATGGTTTCTGGGCTTACGCCGGATCAACTACCTGGCGAAAATAGGTATGATTTGCCCACATACACTCCAATCAGCTTCAACTGACGCTCGGTCGAGAGCGATTTTACCGAAATTTATCCACCGACGGAGAATAGTTGATACGTCAGACGTCATTTCCTTTGATAGGGACTTTAGTGCAGGAGATGACCTCCACCTGCTTGATGACAGTCTTCAACTATCATAAGTTCGGCCTCCAGTTGCTTTTCCTTCGTTCCTACAAACGTCGCTTATTGTAGCTGCCCTCGTTGTAAGTGCACCTATCAACAAAATACTGCCCCAAATATACGCTAATTGTGCTTGGTCATGGGAGCATTTCTTGTGCTCAGTTACTGCGACCTTGCTGATGGAAAATTACTGAATCATAAGCGTCTTCACACCGTCAGCCATAGTTACATCGTTTTTTTCTAAAAAAACACGGATCTCTTGAGTGTCTAAAATGATAACCTATGACATAACCTTCAGGATTTGCCCAGAAGGCTGAGCATTTTGTCGCGACTTTTAGCATCTTGGGAAATTTTTAGACTGCAGACCAACATCAAGTATACAAATGTAGTCTTAGTATGCAATTTTATTTTGGATTTTTGCTGTCATCGTTGTGGCACGAGGGATAAGACCACCTTCTCGTCTCTAATTATATTTGTAAGGCAAGCAGTGGTTTTACAGATTCCATAATCATGGACAATCATTCAAGATCACAGTATTATTCTATTTTTCCCAGGTGTCCAGGGTTTTCACAACAGCAGTAACAATTTAAAGGTAACATGAAGACAACAATTCTATTCTGGTGCAATCATTATACTACTCCAGCCATGTGTAGAAAGATTAATCACCAGTCGCCATCAAAAGGAATGCATAACCACGAATTGTTGTTACTAATCTGACATCATAATTTTCAGGACCTCAGACGAACTAGACCTCCAGAGCAGGAGTATCGCATCGCACAGAGGTGTTATTTTTCCCCTTGGATTCTGTTTCAACCAACTTCCAAAATCAGAATGCATCAGAAAATACGTTAAACAAAGTCCCAAACACTACATAGATTACCACAATAAACTGGCTCTGGTTTACTAAGTGCACAAATAACTTTGATGATGGAGTCTGTTTTTTGAACATGTAGGAAAGGCTCAATTTTCCTAATTAGTTAGCCATGCTCAACTGTTAAACAACTGCTTTTAAGTTGGTACAATCCAAAGTCCCATCGGTGGCAATTTTTTGAAAATGGTCTAGAACGGTTACGGAAGACATGTCTTTTAAAAAGGTGACACTTCGTATGCGTTATTCGGAAGCACATAGAAAGTGTCCATAGTGAGAAGACATAATTCGCTTATCGAAGGGGTCGATACACTGAAGGAAAATTACAGCTACTTTGCGCCAATCAGTCTTGAAATAAGCGTAAGAAATATAATGTCATAATTAGGGAGTTTGCAAAATGGTACATTTTGCGATGTTCGGCTAACAGGGACCAATGATTACTTTCCAACGCACAATATATTACGGTGAAAATAATTGCTTTCATGATGTACATGGACAGATGAGTTTTTTGGACGACGCGCACAATGTTCTACGCTTTTATCTCTTGGATGCTGCTTGGCTGTGTAATGGTGCGGTGTATATCGTTTTACGGACTGAGAAAATACAAACAGTCCCCTCCGCAAAGCAAAAAGAAAAGATCTTGTTGTTGGTGTGAGTGCGAGGTTTTGCGGATGGGTTCTCGTGTAACATGGGAGGAAACTCGCGACACCTATACAACGCAGGATCACGATCCCTATAACCCCAATGCATGTTTTTGCCTTTTCCGATCGACTGTACTGTGTTTTGTTTCCCTAGCTCTACTGCAGGTCAACCCTGGTCACGTGTCTGCCATATCTTTACCCAGTGAAGCCTCGTCGGCAAATAATCTATCCGCCAAGAGAAATTCTGGGCGAGAAAGCACCAGCTGAGCGTTTGCTGGTCCGTGTTGCCGATCCACCCGCGTTATTTTTGGGCACTGCGCAGTTGCTTGTCGAACCACGGGAAGAGATCAACGCACGGATAATCGTCGTAGGCGCCTCAACGACTGGATTGGCTGTTCTGACAACGCTGGTGATGTGGTGAGTTGGCGAGGTAACACAGGGGCAAGCATATTGTTGTTTAGTTGCTTGCAACACCGGATAGGTCACTCAATACCTGAACCACAGATCGAATGAATACGGTCGAACAAGTGCACACTGAAGCTAAGCTGCAGTGAAGTTGGCAACTGTAGCTACTGATATTTCTCTCGACGGGCTGATACCACATTTGGGGTGGAAAAGTTGGGCGCTACTCACAATGCATCTTACGGAAGTGTGCATTGGCGGCCACAACGAATTGGGTATGCAAACTCGTCCACACGAACTAAACCTGGTGAAAGTAAAAAGTGAAAAACTAGCAAGTTGCGAAGGATGGAAATCTATTCAAAAAGTGTGCAAACCACTCTCACTGCTGATTAAGTGTTCGTCACAAGTGCAGCACATAATTTGCAACCGATTTGGCCTAGCTACAAGCCCATCGCTTCACTCAAATAACTAGAAAGCAGCAGCATGTGAGATGGTTTACGTGCCAAGAAATGCAACTTTTGATAGATTAGATTCAGACATACTGAACAAATTACGCGAAACATTGGCTGGCCGCTTTGCCCTAGTGCATCTGACCCATCATTTCTGGCCAACAATGTAAATTCCGTGCCCAGTGTGTTTTAGCCCTCCTAACCCGGAACAAGTCAAGCTGAGCGTCCACCTAAAATTTGGTTCAAACAAGACAACACTTTCTTTGAATGGCGCCATGCAGTACGAACCTCTTTCGCGCAATTCCGCTCACGGTCTTCTGGTCTTGCTGGCTTGGGCCTACTTGCCGCTGTTGCGCACATGTTTATTCTGCTGGCAGTCAGCTAGGCACGAAATGTTCCCTCTAAGCCTTCAGCAAGCCCACGTCCGTAAACTTCTGGTTTGTGATTCGTGCAATATGCAATTCTTCTATCTTATTTCAATTTGGAAACCACTGGCTTACCAATTTTTAAACAAGCAAGTGATGGCTCTTTCTTCGATGATCTATCTGAATCAGCTTCGTTCTCTAATAAAAAATAATGTCTTGGTAACCCTCCGAGAGTCATAAAGGTTTGGTACTCGATCGAAATGATTAGTTTAAAGCACAAAAAGATCGGTTTGCAGCTCACATAAAGTAGAATCACTCACAAATGTGGCGCATTCCTTCCTGTTATTGCTTCCTTGGTCGACGTCCTAGCTTTGCTCATGTGCGTCCAAAGCAAAATGGACACTGCGTAGTTACAGTCAGGTTGTGTTGGCGGCGATCCATTAACTTTCAGCTTGTCGGCTCCATGATCGTCAAATTTGCCCTCTCGATCCGCCACAATCACGCTAGATGTGGTGTCACATCACCACCACAGATCTTTTCACAAAAGCCCGTGACTCTTCTCTGACCTCTTTGTGTCTTTCTCCGATACGCCGTTCAGGCTGATGAGGAGACCGCCCCCCCCCCCCCAAAGAGCGACCTTCGCAGGACAAGGATTGTGTTTGATTTTCAGCCTTTGACACCTAAACTGAATTTTCCCCAATTTAGATTTAAACTAGAGAGCAGTCCGAAAATTGACATTGCCCATAGTCAGCATCTAACGTCGTATTTCTCTGCTCATCTAGGTAGACTATGTTGCATCTGACATCATCAGCGATGTAACTTATGGCTTGATTTTCCGTTCTGTCCTTGTATTCATCTTACAAGCTACTCCACTCTCATGAGTTCCCACATCTTATTCTATGAATGCACACTGCTCATTGGTCATACGTGTGCTTAACATTAAATGCTATTCCTAAGAATCAGTTGTGCAATCAAACGGAGCAAGTCACAGCGACAGGACTAGCATTGCAGATTTTGAGGAAGCAAGAAGAAGTGGGAAAATCCTTCATCGTGAAGTGTGTACATTACTATAAAAGGCGCGCACAGTTTTGAGCAGACTTGTGTGATGTGACTTGATGTGAAGCTAAGTATTCTCACAACTGGTATTCCCATCAACACAGCTTATCGTTGGGCATCGCCTGTTTCGCCCAACATTTGCTTACTGTACTCGTGATGTTCGGTTCAGTCGCGTAGACTATGTCCCGTCGCATTAGCTGCGATTGGATCATTTCTACCAACCAACTGGCTCAGTCTGCGTACTACGGATGGGAGCGTACGTAGCGTCAGTAAAATTGGATTCCTGTTCGACAGTTAACTCTCTGACGGATTCCATTTCAGTTCTCACATCCGGTTTAGAAACTTGGTGTTGCTCTCTCCTAATGGTCTACCTGGGGAAACGCTTGAAAAACCAAGTGAATTGGTGACGAACTTTTTGAGCACCGAGTGAGTTAAAGGGTTACTTGTCAAGGCCAAATGTTTGGGCTTAGTCACCGCTTGTCCTGTGCTGAGTCATCTTTCATCGCCCTTCTGTCTAAACATGATCCATGTAATCGCTGCATCCATCACATGAGACAACAAGATAGTGTGTTAAAGTAGGTAAATAAAATCATTTAGTTCTCGATTTAACGAGCGACTGAGCTCATGAAGAATACGGGCTAGTTTTTATACAATATGCATTTTCATACATGTAAACATCCAATAGTAAGAGTTTGATGAAAGTAGCAGAGGGAGTTCAATGACATAAGAAGAATTCCATCATATTTAGATTCAGTCAAAGGTCAATCACAAACCCAGCAAAGCAATGTACTGTCGTTTCATGTTTACGGCATCGGTAGTTAAATTGCACACTGGTACGGTATTACGGTCAATACCATAATGTTCAAGCGTTCACTAAATCGTCACTCGGCACTACACGTTGAAAAATGTTTCGGATTTTACATCCAATTCTGTGATTTTGAAGTTAATGCCATCTTCATGATTAGAAAGAGTTGATTCCTTCTGGTTTTTCATTTCCGTTCTCACTGTAGTCTGGCTACTACGATCCCGTGGACGCGGACGGCAGGAATGCGCATTATCACGTGACTATTATCACGTGCTAGTAACTAGTATTTAACGGGGGAAACACATTCGTCTACATGTGAGTAATGTAATCTTATCAGAAGATAGGAAGGATGGTCTCCGTATTTGGTAATAACATTAGGTGTGCGCAGGGAAGTATGTGCATTCTTTAGTATACGAATGAAGACGAGATGACAATCGATTTGCCTCCCCTTTTAAGTTTTTATGTGGACATGAGCGTTGAAAAGTAGGCGTTGTCAAGTGAAAAGGCAAATGTTAGAGGAAGAAAAATGAGGTGGGAAAGGAACAGTTAACTGATGATAAACCTCTGCTCTAAGACAGATTAGTGCGTGTGCTTTGATGCAGCTGCATGCTATACCGTCTAGCCAGGAAACAACGAGAATGGTTGGTGGGGTGGGGGTGAGAGACGGGGTCAAAGGTTGGATTCGTCTAAGTTACCGATATACACATGGGTCTCATTGACACATGACGAGTCATTGAGCAGAAGGATAAGTGAGCGAGAAAAATATTAGGCATTTGCCGCACAAAGCCTTTCAAATATATCAGCGCGTAATGTCACAACCCCATTGTTCTCATCATAGATTTAAGAGCTTTATTCGAGTATAAAATACAGTGCAGGTTGATGCACTCGCGTGTGTATTCCAGCTTTTGACCGGGGTCCGCCACACCAACCACGAATTTTGTTGCTCAGGTTGCGCCTAAGCTAGTGCAGCCATACCTAACTAGGGTTACACAACGGTGATTGCGGCTCCAGAAGAGCCAAAGCGAGCAAAAATGTACGACCTCCACCAATTCGATGAGAAGAAAGGAGTTCACTGATTAATCATATACCAAGAGGAATTCATCCTAACTAATCGCTTCTAGGTCAATTGAGAGCTAACTGATCGAAACACATGCACATCACAATGAGCTGCTACAAATGCCTCGGAACCGTCCCAGAATATGACTCTTAAAGCGTCAAATCACATCCCGGAATCGGTGTGGCTTGTGCAGGTAGTTTTGTTCGATAGCATTTGCATTAACTACGAATTACCGCTAGTTTTGTGATTCCATTCTGTCCAAGTAAGTTGCAGCTTAGATTACACCGCGTTGAGGAAAAATAGCAGTATCCACACAAGGAGTTAGGTGCTTTGCAACAATTATTCCTACAGCGTAACTTTATCTTTCGGTTGTATGGTTCCAAAAATGAAATTCAATGCACCATACTACAGCTCTATGTAATTTATAACACCCAGAAGAATGATTTGTGATACATTTCCTATCCATGCTTGCTCGAATCTTCTCAAACGACCGTGCATCAAACACGCTCTAAAGATAGAGATATTTCAGGTGTTTCTTACTCCAGAAACTATAACCTGAGCCATCTTCAACTGTCCCATTTGTTGTTTCCTCTCAGTCATTGCTTCCCCTTGGAGCACCTCGGTCAGTACGCGTTACGTCACTGCGTGCATGTCGTCCATGGGAAGCTGACGGCCATCGACCGGTAAGCTATGCACTCATGTGAGGCAACCGTCCTCGTGATCTCTACATTCGTTTTGTCTGTTACCGCTGTTACTTGTCTGAATACCATGCTCCAAAGCGAAATACCTACCGGCCAACTAATTATGGTCCACACAAACAACTGCATTGTAGCTGAGGGGCTCGGGTCGCATCGAATCCTCATTACCTACAGGCCATGGTACATGTGGTGTTGTGGTGCAGACGTTATATAGTTATTACTGTTCCAGGAGTAAAGTAGGCTACAACTTCAATTTGTCACTCACTCTAGCAAATTAGAGTCGCAGTTCGCAATGTATTTTTCTGGCACTCAGTGGTACACATGCCACGACATATGACCATGTAAAAGAAATGGGTGAGAGATGTAGAATCGGTTAAACTGGGGCATCGTTTTTGTCAGACCGCCTTGGCGGTAGCGATCTGATGGACAACACAATAGGTTGCATGCACAATATGTTGCGACGCCCGGGTCCCAGGAGAGACGAAACACCGACCGACCTATGGCCATGGATTGAACGTGTTCTTATGTGGATTGACCACCTCTGTTGTAGTAAACTGGTGTGAGCCGACCAACCTATTAACAGTGCTATGTGGCGAGGTTGATGCTGCATACCTCATGCTTCTTCACCGCAGTTAGGCTCCAACGACTTATACCTACACTTAAATGTACTGATGTATCATCACAATTCCTCCGCCCTGATAACTTACGAGTGTTCTGGCTATATCTCTCCAGTACTAACGGTGAATGGCGAATGCATGCCTATTTCATCTACTGACAAGAATCTCTTTGTCCATTGGTCCCATAACCTCTCTTGGTCCACGCACATTGTCGCAACGTTTCACAAGGTACGAAGAGTAACCTTTTGCTTTAAACTTAAGAAGCTTTCTGTGTCGCGAACATTTTTTTAAAGTGTTAACTGTCTGTATACTACCCCACTATCTGCATTGTTCCCCGGTAATCTTCCTCAGACTACTGCGAAGGGGTCATGTTTTGATTGTGCGATAGGTTAAACATACTTCCAGATGTAGCGGCTTACATTTAAATTTCCTAGTCGATATTGTTACTCGTAGGGGTTTTGACAATTGCATGAAATTTGCAATGAAACTTTGTCTGTCACTTACAGGAGCTCAACATTTAAGGTGTTATTCTCCCGCAATCCGTCGAATAGTAAAACCTTTACCCAGTTTGTCACGTTTTCCTGTTGACCCAAGTAGTCACATAAACTTTGTGCATGCAGCCTCTCGATTGGCATTTGTAGACTTTTGTCTATTTAACTTTTAAATGTGTTTATATATTTTTGTTTGGTCCCATCATTCATTGTAACCGCAACGATAGCGTAAATGCTGAGAATGCACCCTATTGGATGTAAAGAGCCTATTTTTTGCTTGCAAAGACTAGATCCTATTAACCTGGATGAAAAGTATTCCACCTTAGATAATTTCTGCAGTTCAGTTATTTTGCCGCATATTCCGTGTCAATTTTGGGTATTTATGTTCCTTCAAATTATGTGTTGATTGTTTAATATCCCGGTCTGGCTGCGCTTGATGTAAATGTTGACAACGTGTCCACCTGTCCAAATTCGGCTCCTCGATCATACTGACTCCAGTTGGTCTTAATTTGGGGAGTCAACGGGCACGGACGTGATGGTACTAGGCTCCACGAGTGATTCCATGCATCCGGTGTGGAACTGGCTACTATCTAGCGACCGCAATGTGTACGTCTGCTACGCATAAATTTCCAAGTAGACAGCAATGTTGTTGTTCACGCTGAAAAGTGAAGGCCGCCTCCGTTGGTGAGACATGTCGCCTATCCTCCCGACTTTATTCATTTCGGTTTACACTGCATATGGGGTGGTGCAGCGTAAGACACCGAGTGTCCCTCTGTGGGAGCACGCGTGCTGTGGCTGTCTTATGGAGGCCGTAGTGATATGCAACTGCGAGACCAGGTGCCCCCAATCAATGGACGACTACGCGAAGGAAGACTTTATATATATATATATATATATATATATATATATATATATATATGGCTGTGTTGACAAAATCACTTAATGTTGGGTTTCTTCGTTCATTGGAAGTATTTCATGGAAATGTAGATACAATTAAGTTTCATTTCTGATTCTGAATTTTTCGACGAGAAATACCTGTGGTTTCCTCGCTTGGTTTTGGCGATCTTGCTATCGCCATTTTCTCCAGCAATCGGTCGAGAGCTTGATTTCGGATTATTCAAAAATCCGAAGCAATAACCCTGTGATACTTGTTCCAAGATAGTCGGATACCGTGCAAATGTCCTCACGTGTGTTTTGTGCCAATTTAAATTTCACATTTCATGTGTTGTTTTATCAGTTGAGGATTTTCATCATCTTCGTGAAATCCAACACGATTTCGTCCAAACTTTATGTGGAAATTGTCGAGAAATGACACAGCCAGGACAGATAAAGCCGACGTGTAGGCTTCATCATTCCGTTGCAAACAGCTCCGTGTGTTTGGCCCCACAACCTAACCCGAAGAGTCTTCAGGTTTCAGCTCAGTCTGCCTCCTCTACCCATGCAAACGCACCGGCACGAAGTCCAAACGTTGTGAGAAAACCCGTTTTACCTGGCATAAATTATTTACCTTTGTTGTGTCCAACGAGCACTGATGTCCCAACAGGTGAAAGTCTGAGTGCTGAAGACCAGTGGAAAGAACAAAGAACGAAATTACGAAGGGATGTTGAGCGTTTAGGTTTGGTAAGTCAACAGTTAGCCAAACCACATGAGGCTGGTTATATACTTCGCCCTGCAAGGTCAACCTCGTCCGACCAGAGGCGTTATAACATCCTGATTTTCCACACGCCGGAGTCCAGTGATCCATCACCCTAAGCGCGCTACGATCACGATGTCGATGTTTTACAGAGTTTATTTGACAGACTCCTCGACGCTGGTGAGGACTCGGTAAAACTGAGATAAATTACCCGTCTTAAAATGCTAGGTGATCAACAAACTCAGCCTATGAGAATCACTTTTGTGGACGAAGCCACTCCAAGACTGATCATGTGCCGCCTAAGTAGGCTGAAAGATTTGAAGATCCATGTTTGTCCAGACCTTGACCCAGTAGACAGGGAGCGGCTCAAGTCTGCCATCATTTGAGCTGAAAAACCTACTGGTGAGGGGAAAACAAATCTTCGTATCGTAAATTTTCGGGTGGTTTCCAACAATCTGCGAATCGAAATAAACAGGCTGCTAACACTTCAAGCACGCCCGGTGGCTCTGCTGCGGCTTGCGAGTAGCCTTCACAAACGTTTGCAGTGTTATGAACAAGCTCCATACACCTCAGGCGCGAAGAACTACCTGTGGGCGCAGTCTATCGCAGCCCCCTGAGTCGTTGTTTGGATTGGCTGCCCCTTCTTCGAACCCACATGAGTCGTCCACACTTTCTACTTATGGGCGATTTTAGCTGTCCTCGAATACCATGGCCTGATGTGCATTTGATGTCTTGACATAGTGAGGTTGAAGCAAAGTTCGTTGATTTGGTACTTGAAACTGGTGCATCGCAACACATATGCCAGCCAACACGCAAAACAACAGGCTCAACCCCGTCCTGTCTCGATCTGATGTTAACGAGCTATGAACAACAAGTGCGTGAAGTGCGCATCTTGGAGCTCCTTGCTGCAAGCGAACACTCAGTGCTTATAACTGATATGGAATTACCTTTACCGTATTCAGGTACGCTGGAACCAGCTTACAACTATGGGAAAACAGACTTTGATGGTCTAGCTCGGGCCGCGAGCCAATTGGATTGGTCCATGTCACAAGCTGCTTCTGTGGAAGACTGTTGAATATGTATAAGGGAGAGATTGATATCATTTTGTTCCCAATTTGTGCCATTGAAATGTCGAAGGTTGGACGGACAAGAACATTCGTCTCTCCATCAAAGGGCGGGTCTATTATGCAACTGTTCGTGCTGTACTGTTGTACGGATGCGAGACCTGGCACATTCGTAAAGATGACTTGCGCAGGCTATCCGTCTTCGAGCACCGCTGTCTGCGGTCCATTGCCCGTGTGTGGTGGCAGCACCACGTAAGCAATGTGGAAGTTAGACAGCGTGTCTTGGGACGAGGAAGCCACTCGCTCGAGGAGCTCATCTCACTGCATCAACTGCGGTGGTTGGGACACGTATTGCGCATGCATGTCCAGCGTTACCCGCGTCGTGCGTTGTTTGCACTTGCTGGACGGGGCTGGAAGAGACGGCCTGGTGGACAGCCTACAACATGGAGAAGCCGCATGAAAAAGTTGACGAAACAATTGGCCTTGGCCGGTTGTTGTCGACTACCTGGTTGGGGTCCGAGAGATGAGGATACTTGCTGGTTGAAGACCTTGGAAGTTATGGCTCAAGATCGATGTCAATGGCGGACGTGTCCATCAGTGGGTTGCGGTGTCCCTTCTTCCTCCCCCTAAAAAAGTACAAGCTTAAAAAAATTTCAAAAACTGTGAGTGGTAAACTTGACAAAAAAAGCATTTCTTGTTTCTCTTTTCTTATTATTCATATTGTTTTCCTATTCAGCCATGATTCCGATGGCACAATATCTGTACCACAGATTTTCTATATATATATATATATATATATATATATATATATATATATATATATATATATATATATATATATATATATATATGGGAATCTGGCTCAGAGGCGGCACAGACTGTGAGACAAATTCCTCCACTCTGGCTCTGCCAAAGACTACGAGGAGTATAAAGTCAACGGAACCTATGCAACAGTGAAAAACGAAATAAGCGCCGGCATTTCGAAGAGCAGCTTGCAAGCGCCACGAGGACCGCCTCAAAGACAATCATTGCTTACGTGAAGCGACGCCTGAAGCCAGCAGGTGATGAGCCAGTGCTGGATGGCCCAGATGAACATCCCCTAACCACCAGCACTGAGCGTACGTCCGAGTTAGCGGCGCAGTTCACTTCTGTATTGAAAAATGATCAGGTGTCTGTTCTG